GGTTTTTGGCATATTTGGAAGACTGTATGTATGTATGTATGTATGTATGTATGTATGTATGTGTGTATGTGTGTATGTGTGTCTCACTTCCCAACGACAGCACGACTGTACAATGTTTAATATGATCTGTTTTCTTTTGCTTGTGTCTGTGCTTATTCCCTCAGCTGACCAGCATGTTTGATAGGGTGAGCGGCTCCAACAGACAGCTGGAGGACGAGATGAGGGAGCTGGCTGACAAAAAGGAGAGTGTAGCTCACTGGGAGGCCCAGATCACAGAAATCATCCAGTGGTGAGACACACACACACATACATACACGCATACATACACGCATACACGCAGTAGCTTTCTCAAATGTCCTTAGTATTTGCTGAGGCATATACTTTCTCATTGATGCTACAGCACAAACTGAAAGACGGCTATATTCAGTCCCACTCTTAAAATGCACACACACATGTTGTCTGCAAGTGTATTGGGTACCTCTATACAGCATAACTGCAGCATTTCTCACATGCCTCTCAAGATCTTAGAGCTACTTGACCCTCCCTTCCTCTCAGATCACTTCCCATTGCAGCTGACACCCCGCCAGCTGCTTGGCTTCCCTCTGTTGGACAGGCCTGAAGTCCTCACATAGCACACATACCCGCACACACATACCCACACACAAGCAGTGTTGGCCCAAGCCTTTTCCATTCACAAGGCAACAGTGGCCCCTTGTGGTCAAGTTGAAGAATACATAAGCGACACTATTTCTGCTACACTTGGGCTGACTGTACTACACTGCATTGTTACAGATCTGGCTGCTATGGATTAACTATCATTAGCGCGAGATGGTGTAATTGGAGAGCTGACACAGATTTCTGCAGTTTGCTCTAAACTTTTGCAACAATGCAGAGACAGCAGTAACATGATTAATTCAAGCATTTTTTTGGCTTAAACATCGGAAAGTCTCACATTACATCAGCACAATTAACTGAAGCACAGAAACAGTCAGAATTGAGGATTGTTGTAAAAAATAATCCTTTCTCCATGGCTGGTTTCTGTGTGTGCTTCTGTGTCCTCAAGTCGAACTATTTTAATTTGGAGTAAAGTTACAGCCTTAGTTTTTAGGTTTTAATAATTGGTTTTTACATTATTTTTCTCCCTGGTGTTTATTTTTCTTCTATTGAATTGCTATAGACAGTTTTTACATTTTACTGTTTCTATTGTATTAACTTTTTTAACCTTGCAATATTTTATTTGTTGTTTTTGTTTTTATGTGTTGTTTCAGTTTCGCTATGTTTGGGCTGTATGTTTGTATGAAAGGTGCTATATAAATAAAGTGGAGTATTTCCAAAGTTCAGGCCCTATTTTGGAGCAAAAACCCCTAAAATCAAATCCCCAAATTAATGCCCAAACCGTTCAGCCCTGTTCAGTCATGCAGTCCATCGAAGGCATGGCTGTGCTGGATTTTATTTAACTGGGGCCATGCTGTGTAACAGAGATAAAGTGGTGTAAACGTAAGAGAATAAGGTAGAGTGATTTTTGCAGCACAATTTGCTCGCTGTCACCCCTTCTCTATTTACTTCCCACGGCTGACCTCACCCTCATTGCCAATCTCATTGCTACTATTGGCCAGAAAAGTGAAGCTGGTGAAATTTAGTATTCTTATCACTTAATTGTCAGAAAAGTATTTGCAGATCTCAATGAATGTGCCCATATCAATTGATATTACTAGCACTGCTGTTAACCTCAATATTTACCTGGCATGGTGGTCTTCATTATATCCACTCCGACCTGCTTCCCCCGCTCTGCAGCGAGCACAGCGTAGTCCCCCTGGTGGGACAGGTTGAAGCTCCAGGCCGGGGGTTCAGGGCCTGAATCTGAACTGACCTGGAGGCAGACAGCAAGGCAATGATCAAACATTAATTATAAAAATAAATAAAAAACCCCACTGTATTATGTAACAACTCCACAAAATGTAATACATTTTTACTCCATCATGTATTAACACCTGCATTTGGTAACAATCTGCCGTTTTCTGTAATAAACAGCATAAATGCAATATGTAATACATCTCCCCACATTTTGTCATAAGTGATCACATACTGTGGTGGTTATTTCCAAATGTGAGAGTTTCACTTTTTTATGATGAATGTAATAAATGTCGCATTATGTAATAACCAACCAAAATGGTGTGGTGCCCCCCCCGGAGCTATAGCTGACTCTGATTGTAGTGTAAATAAAGGCAGTAATATGAACAGCTTGTCATCATCATCATCTTACAAATACAGCCAAACACAGGGACTTTACCTCAAAAGCTGACCTGGAAAAACTCATTCACGCTTATAATTCTAGCAGTGTGGACTACTGCAGTGGTCTTTTCATTACAAGACGCAGGTACAATATATTACATATTGGATCTCTAAATGAAAATATAGCAAAATAAGTCAAGCTAGAGCCCAGTATAACTTAATTAACTGAAATAAGCCATTTCTTGAGCTTTAACAATTGCAGCAAGGATATAAACCCTCCTGTGCAAAGTGTTAAAAACATATCCTAAATATCATAATTATAATAGCCTAATTTTCACTACTCAAGTGTAGTTTAAGGGCTGTGCATTTACACTTTGTTCAAACTCACAGAACTTTATTAGGGCCTGAGCAGCGGTTATTATTCTTAACCAAAGTTAATTTAATTCATTTAATTCCTCATGAAACGCTGCGCACACGTCAAAATGTACGTATTCTATGGGTCTCGCACATGTGTTGGAAAAAGTACTCAACAGCGCCCTCTACAGAGCAGCCCCAGCAGCACGTTTCACCGATATACATGAAATCGGTACAGATCATGTCGAGATGTACGAAAAAGTATTTTGGACCCAGGCCCCAAACCTTCCAAAAAGAAAGTCGGCCATTTCGAATTTATTTAACGAAGTCCTCCTAGGGAATTGATCGGATCGACTTCTAAACAGACTAAACAGACTTTCTATCCCATTTTGTGTCAGAATAAAAATGAACAAAATGAAACAGAAAAACATACGTTCGAATGAATTCAATAAAACATGAAATAAAAGAAACCTCAATATTTGGGCAACAACACT